GAATAGGAGAAAAAGCCACACTCGTTTATTTAACATGCACAAGCACTGGGGAAACAAAGGAGGATGGTGGCCCAGTAACCCAGTGAGGTCCAGATACTTCTGTACCCTTCTTATTAGGGGCAGGGGAGATGAGTAAATGTGGCAATTTTGAGGGGTAGTAAATGATTTTGAAGGGAAATGAATGGGCCCAATGCTCACACCAATGGCAGGTAAATCATTCTCTTTGGAAATTGAATGGGACCAGTGAACAGACAATAGTTGGGGACAAAGTTTGTCTGGGCTGTGGGTGTGGTGTTTCATTTTCAGTCTCTTCCTCTGGGATAGCAATCTTCTCTGGTTAATGAAATTCCAGGGGAGGGGACCAGAGGCTGTGTGATCCTCTCTGTCGGGTCTGGTTTCTAGGTAGATAAGGAAGCTTCAGGAAACAGCCTCATCCAACATCCACTGCTCTACGGTAGCTTTTAACTTAAAACAATTGGCACACCAGGGTGCCATTTTGAGGGTGGCCTTCCCTGGATTCCTTAACTATCCAAGGAAGGATCTTTTAAAGCTCCTGCCTTGTAGCCAAAAGTGAAAAATTCCCTCTTCCTTCTTGCCTTAAAAGTCTGTCCTGTCTGTAGAGTTTTCTAGCAAACGCAGGGCACAGGCCCCTAGTGCCCTGACTGGTCCCATCAAACAACCAAACCATTCTCCTCAGGATAGCGAGGTAATGTGTAATTAGATTTGGTTGGAAAGGCCGCTTGGGATCTTCTCAAATATAAATCTTATTAAAGATCTCTCACTACCGTATAAACGTGGATAAAATATATGCACGTAAGGGAATCCAGTGGAATCACCAGGGCTGGTGCTTTGCGGGAAGAGACGTGATGGCGAGCGCTGGAATTTCAGACATGGTCGTCACAGCAAGGCCGGCCTTCCCCAACTCAGTAGATCCTGGGTCAGGTTCTGACTGGGTTCGAATAGCGTTTCCTACTGGAAACACATAATTATGAGTTCAGGCTACATAAGGCCCCCGGCCGGGATAAGCTTTCACGCTGAGGTGGGCTGAGAAACGCTCCAGATAGTGGTTCCTGGGGTGGTTTTCACCATTGACTTGGTGGGTCTTGGCCATTTTCATTGGATCCAGAGACGGTTTAGTCCCATTTTTTTTTTTTAAATCAATCTTTGTCTTCCTTTAAATTGTAAACCAATTATCCATTTATTCTAAAACACCTGCCCGTTTCCTGTAAGATCCAAGCCTGGGTCCTCAGTCAACCTGAGGAGCAGCAGCCTCCAGGCCCAGCTGTTGACCATCATGCACTATCCCATTCTGAGGAAAGGTGTGAGGAGCAGCAATGAGGTTGCTGACCTGTCTTCAAGGTCCCGTCTCTGCCGCTTTCTGGCTACATGGCCTTGAACAAGTCCTAGTCTCGCTCAGCCTCAGCTTCCTCATCTGCAAGGGGTCATTCTGAGCATGAAATACGTGAGTGCTCAGCTCAGTGTCCGCCGCTCCTTAGTCCTCACCAAACGTAGCTGTTACTATAAAAATATACCAAAAAGGAGCAGGCTGAGCTGGGACTATCATCATCTCTTGACATGTCAGTTAATTTAACCATGTAAATATGCCCTGGTTCTTTTCACTGGTACTTGAAGGATATATTAATAATATCACTAGCGTTGGTTACCAGTTCTGCCCATCTGCCAACTCCCCCACCCCAGCTACAGAGAGAAACTTACAGGGAAGAGAGTGTTCTTGTCATGAACTAGGAGTAGCTTTAGAGCAGTTGACCCAGTTACCTAATCATAATCAAAGAGGGAGATGTATAAATCCATCATGCTATAACTCTTAAAAAATCTTACCAAAGTTTTTCTGGCTTGAAGGTAGTCACGCTTTATAGCAAGTCAACTCAATCCATTATATAGACCCACATTTGGCAACCAATATATCTTGAAGACTAATCTAGGAAGTTACCTTGCTCTTGGTTAAAAATTTGATGGATATTTCTTGGATGGTTTTGTGGTCAGGTTATTTATTTGATTACAGTTGCTGTACGTTGTTTTTAGGAAATTACTGTTTTAACCTTAAGACAAAGAGCTTTGAGGCCCTGCATAGAACAGATTCCCAAATTACTTCTTTACAAAGATCTAGGCTCCTCTACACTTACCCCTTCTGGTCCTTCTCCAGAACTTGCTAGGGTGGTCAACTGTTAGGCCCTTTGCCTTTCATAAGATGTAAATCCAAGTCCTTTCCTCTTTGCTGGTGCAATGTTTATGACTACATACCTGACTGGCACATAAAGAAACTAACTCCAGTATTTTTCATTACACTAGGGGCTAATACTTATCAGAATAAACAAGATATTAATACATAAAAGATTGTTGAAAGAAATGCAGCTTATTGATTTCTCAAAATCAAGGATTCTTAACCTATCCATAAATACCTAAAAATATTCACATATGGGCTTCCAGAAGTGTTCCTGAGCATAAGCTTTGGTCAGATTCTTAGAGCGGTTAAGAACCATTATTCTGGATGTTCTAAAGTGTGTTCCCAGATCAAGCCAGACCAGGAGAGAGTTGAGGGCCTAGAACATGCCATTTTCCTCTCTTACTCTTGAAACTCAAAGCTGAATTTACTCTAAGGTTGTTATTAAAATGTTGCTAATTCCATTACAGTTTTTTTTCTTATGAAAATTGACAGAAGATACTTCTCTATGGTTTCATAACTAGGAATAGTTGTGAACAGATTATTTTAAATTAGCAGCAACGTGATATGTCAGATTCTTTGTTGGCTGCCAGAAAGTTTAGAGCCAAACTCTTGACCGACCTCCTGCACAAATCCTTTGGCCATTACAGCATGTGTTTTGTGTTACTTGCCACTAGGGTTCAAGAGACTAATAAATAACTCTCATTTTCCCCTTGCCTGGACTCTAAACTAATTGAGAAATAGACAAGAGACAGACAGATGGAGATCCAAATATCAGTCTTATTACAAAGTGAGGCTAGGTAGCAGAATGGCACTCGGATGTGAGGAGAACCAGACTGACAACTCGCCATCCTGACTTAGACAGACTTGCCCCATCCTCCCCTGCGGGAGGGTGTGAAGTCCCTGCAGACAGGCGCGATTGCCCCAGAGGGGAGACCACGTCAACCTTTTCACCCAAACACACAGTCAGAGAAATGCCTCTGGCCCTGGTTCTTGGCCTGCCTCCCTGAAAACGTGGCTGGGGCACGTGGCCAGAGCTCTACTCTAGGGAGATCCTTCCATGTGGGGAGGGAAACAATTACCCCAACACTGACCTTTCTCATTTTTTCTTTTCTACCCTCATTCTCACTATCAACAGAGCAAAAAAAAAAAACCAACCTATAGATTGAGAAAAAATATTTGCAAATTATTCAGAATAGCCAGAACATTTAAAGAACTTCTACAACTTAACAGCAACAACAACAAAAGACACATTTAAAAATGAGCAAAGGACTTGAATAGATATTTCTCTAAAAAGGATACACAAAAGGCCACCAAGCACATGAAAAGATCATTCATCATTAGGGAAACCATTAGCATCAGCATCATTGTCAGTGGTCATTAGGGAAATGCAAATTGAAACCACAATGAAATACCACTTCACGCTTACTGGGATGGCTATAATTTTTTTTAAAAAAACAGGAACATAACAGTTGTTATGGGAGAGGAGTTGGAGAAATTGGCACATTCTTACATTGCTTAGGAATGTAAAATTAGTAATGAAAAATGATGCAGACACTATGGAAAACAGTTTGGCAGTTTTTCAAAAAGTTATATTACCATATGATCCAGCAATTTCACTCTTAGGTTGATACTCAAAAGAATTGGAAACAAGGACTCAAACAGATATTTGTATGCAAATTTCCATCGTAGCCAAAATGCGAAGGACACATAGCCAAGTGTCCTTCAGTGGTGATAAACGAATTGCGGTATATCTGTACAGTGGAACATTATACAGCCTTAAAAAGGAGTGAAGTGCTGATACACACTACGACATGCATGAGCCTTGAAAGCATTATACTTAGTGAAATGATAGACCAAAAAAATGACAAATATTGTATCATTCCAGCTATTGAGGTACCTGGGATAGGCAAATTCATAGAGATAGAAAGTAGATTAGAGGTTACCCAGGGCAGGTGAGAAGAGGAGGGGAATAGGGAGTTATCGTTCAATACGTATAGAGTTTTTGTTTACACTGATGAAAGGATTTTGGAAATAATGGTGATGGTTGCACAACATTGTGAATGTAATTAATGTCACTGAATCGTATATTATGGTTAAAACTGTATGCCACATTTATAACATTTTTATGTCATTAAGCATTAAATATAAAATATATAATATTTTGTTATTAAGCATTAGTAGAAAATTAATGTAAAATTAAGCAGATTTTAGTTATATATATTTTGCCACAACAAAAAAATTCAAAATTTGTTCAACAGTTAAAATTATATTTAAGAACTCCTAACAGTACTCTCATTACTTTTCTTGACAAATGCATTGTGAAATAGTGAAATGGAAAGAGATTGTGTGCCCAAATTAAACTTTATATCAATATTTTAAAACTTAAAAGAAAAAAAACAAACACAAGATGATTAGAAAGGGGTGAGACCGTTCTTGTGTGCCTCCGAAGGTAAAGGCCTTTACTTGTGTAACAGGAAGTAAAAGAGGAAAAACAGGTGGGTTTTGCTGTTCGAAAGAATGTATAGCTTACAGTTAATGATTGAATTGCGCATCGCATGGTTCATGTCCCACGGAAAGGCAATTGGACAGTTTATGTTTAGTCAACTACACATATTCCCCGTATTAATACCTAGAATGTGGGGAAACCTTTCCGAACGTTGTCGGGAACGCTTTTTTCCATTCTCATAATTGGACGCGTAGTGTCTTTCTGTGGGTACCACCAGGATTGTGCGGGCAATGCCGGCCCCTGCTGTTGTCCCTCCCGAGCTAAAGCGCTGCAAACAATGGCTCACGCGAGACCCCGGTTCTTTTCCAGAGCACAGGAAACTTGGAAACATGACTGTGACGGTGAAGAAGACTGTCCCCTCTCCCGAGGCCGTGCAGATCCTCTACCAGCGGATGAGATACGAGTACGAGTTCTACCACTACGTCAAAGAGCAGTTCCACCTGCTGAAGCGCAAGTTTGGACTCAAGTCTCGCGTCAGCAAGCCCCCCCTGAGGCCGCACTTCTTTATCCCAACCCCACTGGAAACCGAGGAGCCCATCGACGATGAGGAACAAGATGATGAAAAGTGGCTGGAAGATATTTATAAGAGGTGATGCCAGCACTGTGTTGGCCTCCATGGCTATATCTCCCTTTTCCAGAAAGTTCTTTGTTTGGGGAAGAAAAATCCTTAAGGAACTAAATTAATGCTCGGGTGCATTAAAAGAACAAAACATTCCCACATGTTGGGGTCATTGGGAGATGCCCGATTTTGCGGGTTTTATGTGTTTAATTTTATTCTGTGTTTTTTCTTGGCTCCTTGGGTCTTTCCCAGGTACCCTAGATGGCTCCGTCACAAGGCATCTCGTCATAAAGCATCTTCCCCCTCACCCCATATGATGAGAGAAGGGGGAGAAATATAGCCCATAGCCTAATAACTTATCATTTGTAAAACGACTTAACAAAAATATTACCTCAGTGGTAGGAGACATCCACACTTGTATATTACAGTAGAAATATAAAACCACTTCAGAGACCAGGGAATCTACTCTAGAAAGATCTAAGAGAAGAAGGTAAGACAGATTAGAATATCAATGGGAGGATGTCCCTGGTTATGTGGTTTCCACCCATAGGGGTAGAATTCTGCCTCTGGTCCATCTCAGGGGACACTTTCACCTAGAGCAGCATCCTTATCTCCGAAAGAGCAAGTTGGTTTGTGCCACGTCCCCTCCCAATCCAGATCTGGAGTACCTTTCAAGGTCAGAGTGCATAGCAAGCCCCCTTGAGACATTCCATTTCCAAGCATACTGACAGATATCAAAGTAGCCTAGCAGGGAAAAGAATTTGTTTTGCTGTGTAAGGAGGAAGGTAGGCAAGAAGATGAAATCTGAAGGTCACATGGCATCAGGAAAAGAGCATGCTCGTGTCCTTTGCACCTGGTATGAAACATCCTTCTCCCTAGCACTGCTCTAAATGGAAATCTCAGGAACCAAATTAGTCTAGCATTTGACTCCTGTGGTAGAAACTCAGAACCTGACCATGGACTGTGCATGATCAAATGCATCCCTGGCCAAATTGGGTCCCTTAGGAGCTGGTACCTTCTTGTTTCCTGGGAGATGACTGTTTTGAGTAAAAAAAAAAGGGGCGGGAGGTCCTAAATTCTGTGCAGGTAGCAGAACTAGAGACCGATTTCTTATGAAACATGCTCGCTCCTGAGAATCCTTACCAGGGACATCCAAAAACAAGAAGCAAGAGCTAGGCTGGCCAAGAGACTGCTTGCCGGGCTTTGTGAGTAGGGGGCTGCCGCGTGTGACCTGAGTGGACGTTGAGCAGTTCCATTGTCCCCTGGGGATCTCTTCTCTCCACCTGCCGCCCCTGACCCCTGCCATCTATCAATGATGCCTTTGGTCCAGTCATTAGAAATCTACTCCTTTGGATTCTGAAATGTTTTCACCTTAAAACGCCCTGAAAAATGTGCATTCTCCTGGGTAGATTAATATACAGCTAGCTGGGAAACCGGGGTGCTGTGGTATGGGCAGAAAGGATACTTGCAATAAATTTTGTCTAGTTAGTATTTTCCCCTAGAGCCAGCCCTTCAAGAGCACCAGCAAAGTGTGAGTTGGAAATACTTAATAGTAAATAAGACACTGATTTTACACAAGCTATGCATTTTCTCTTTTTCAGAAACCAACAGGTCTCTCTAGAATTTTTTCTTCCTGCACTAAAATTGGACATAAGCCAAGATATAAAGCGAGTCATTAAGAACCTGCCGGGTGTGTGCTAAAGCTACTTTATCATGAGACGTATTAAGAAGGCTCCAGCCCACGGGAGTCCAGTGAAGCCGGGGACCCCAGAGGCAGAGTCCACCGCTTGGCCACGTGGGGGCCTCCTTTCTGCCTCGGGGGACTATGGCAGGGAAATGATTAAGGGCTACGTTCTTAGAGGAGGAAATATCCTTTGTCCTGTCCAGAGAGACCAGGGCTCCCATTAGGCACACTTTCAAAAGCAACCCGGAGAACAGATATCATATTTGAAACAAGTACCAAAACTGCTGCCTGCTACATTGTGAGTCATTTCTATGAAATCTCATATGGAGAATGATGATTAGTTTACACACTGTGCAAGCTCACAATCTGAAAATAAAGTTGAGCTGGCTCTGTTTTCTCTGCTGTCATCAGAAAATCAGGAGAATTGGAAAGATTTGTCCTCTTACTGCAAGTTCACATGGGCCCTTCTACCCATGTGTTCAAAGGCGTTTATTTTCAGCAGCGATCATTATAACCTCCCAACAAAAGATGCTGACGGACTTACTTGTGGGGGCCTTAGTGTTATTTTGTCCCAACAGACAGCCTCTAGGTCCTGAAAGTCAAGGCACTTCATCAGTTTATTTGGCATACATGACAACGTTTTTTTGGCTCTGGGCCCAACACAGTTTGTAATTCATGAAATATATTGTACATTTTACATAGTTTAATTTAAAAAATACCTTTTAAGCTAGTTGATCTTTGACTGCCTTATTTATTATAACCTTTCAGCACATTCCAAGATTTTAGTTACTCAGGAAGGAGTTAATTAAAATGATTTTATTTTGGTCTGATGGATGTTTTTTAAAAGGAAAATTATTATTATGAACCTTCAGCCCACTTTCCTTGAGTGCCGTAAAAGTGCTTGTAAATCTTTTTTTTTTTTTAAAGAAGAGAGAAAAAATGATGTTTGACATTGATGGAAATTCAAAAATATATATGGAACTGAAACATTAGCTTAGCTAAAATAAAAGCAATCTGTGTTTGAGATGAAGTGTTCCTTAACTTATTCATTACCCATGTCAATAAATGAATATAAATAAGTTGAAATTTTTTTCCCATTCTGTTGATAGCTGGAAATAAAAGGGCCTGCAGGTCTTCACAGCTTGCTCAGCTTTCTTGATTGGCCAAGTTTTTTTCTTGAAGATGTGATTTTTAAAAAAGATGTATTGTTCAAGATCTATCAACTTTCATTCTTATAATTATGTAACACCAAAAAAGCTAACTGAAAAAAAAAATGAGCTAGTCATTCATTTATCTAGTTGTGTATATAAAATATGAAACAACTGGTTTTATCACTATTTCCACTGGTTGGTTTGGTAACATCAGCCTCTGATATCTGGTGTCTACGGGCCATGCGTACAGTGATATAGGAAGGGCAGGATACACCACGTCTCTTAGTGTGTAAGCTGATCTCTTTCTCAGACATGCAGAGCCTCAAACCTTGGACCATTCCAAGCTCTCAGGTGAGTGGTCTTGATCCAGAAATGCCCTCCCTGGGAAATCTCACTGCTGTGTTCAGATGGAACTGACACAGAGAGAAACTCCATGTTTTTTACACACTACATTCCAACCACATGTGACTGTTTTATAAAAGAAAAGAAATCAGAATCTTGGTACTTAACAAAAGAAAAATCCATTTGATAAATAGCATGCTTCATTCCAACTAAGAATCTGAGAATCTTAAATAGCAGGTCATAAGTAGTGACTATTATCTAATTTGTTCTTCAAATGTTGGTTGACTCTGAATGAACATTAAAGCCCAAAGTACTAAACAAAAATGTGGGGTGGCTTGTTCCGTATAAGTGTGCCATCACCTGCAGCTTTATCCAATGAGTCATTTGGCTTCAAATGAATGTTACGGATAATGACAGTATTTCTTAAAAGGCAGAACGACAATTCACAGCCATTAAGAAAAATAGCCCTCTGGGTCAAAATTGTGACATTCCCTTCAAGTATATGTTAAGAGGATTTATTTTACTAAAATAACTTGCTTCACATCTGATGATAAAGAAACCTGTAAAAATTAAACAAACAAAAATATTTTTAATATCCTGCTACAGAAAAGCCTATTTTAGGCTAAAACCAAAAATAAGAGTCTGTTAAGAAAAACATGGAACTTTTTTCATAGCCCAGAAAAGTCTTTGTGGTATAACTCAATGTGTCCGTTTGCCCAGGCTGCTACAGACTGGAGGCCTCAAACAGGAGAAATTCTTGGCCCCACAGTGCTGGAGGCCAGAAGTCCAAGGTCAAGGTGTCAGCAGGGTGGGTTTCTTTCGAGGCCTCTCTCCTGGGCTAGCTGATGGCCACCTTCTCCCTGTGTCCTGGCGTGGTCTTGCCCCTGTGCCCGTCTGTGTCCTCCTCTCTTCTTATAAGGACCTCAGTCATATTGGATTAGAGCTCACACTAATGACCTCACTTTAACTTAATCGCCTTGTGAAGGGTCTTAACTCAAAACACAGCCACATGCTGAAGTGCTAGTTAAGATTTCAAGGCATGAATTTGGGAGGCACGCAGTTCAGCCCAGCATACCGAGATCACGGCGGGAAAGTTAAAAGCAGAGGAACTGAAGTCCTGCTGGGACAGAGGCAACAGTCACATTGCAGCTTCCGGGCAATAGTCTGGTCCTTCCCCTCATTTTATAGACCAGGAAACCAAGGTCCAGAGAGGAGGAGGTACGACCATATCGCACGCTAACTGGGTTAGTGTGGGTTCACTTAACTTCCCCGAGGGTTCACTTAACTTCTGAGCATCTACCAAAATATTAATAAAACCTTAAAAGGATGACACAGCCCAAGGCCATCTGCTGACCCAGATCCAGAACGGTGATGATGAGGCATGCTCGCCACCCCCACGGCCACTGCCCCATGGGAGCCGGGGCTGTGGGACTCAGCCCGTTCCTCCAAGAAAGGCTCTGTTGGTTCTCAGTCACCAAAGTCCTCAGAGACAGATGCCGAATAAGTATTTTATTCTAGATTTTTCTCTCCGCTCAAAGGACACAGAGAGCCTTCTGTTTCTTGGTAAACAGACTTGGGGCATGTTTGCCCCTCTCAGATTACAGTGTTTTTGTTCTCTTCAAGGCAACGTGAAGATTCATGTCCTACTGCCTATAAGTAGTTTCAGATGAACCCACCTCAAAAAATACAGTCCAAATGCAGTTCAGAAAAGTAGTTGAAGTCGAGTGCAGACACAGCCCAGGAAAAGCAGGACTGGAGTAAGCAAAGCCCGAGCCCTCGCAGGCCTCCTGGCTCCCTGACCGTTCGACCCCCTGGAGAATCCCCTCTGCCTGGGGCGGGCTGGGCCCACTGCTCCCACCACTGCAGATTCCCAAGGAACACCCAGCCCCGCAGAGGTTCGCGTGCCCCTGAATCGTGAACTGACCACTTGTGCATTTTGGATTTCAACTTGTAAACATGGGGATTCCCTTCTTACAAAAAAAAAAAAAAAAAAAAAACAAGTTGGGGTGGATGAAAAATCACTGTGCAAAGGAAAAATGTGAGCTAAGTTTTTCCTTTTGGAATCTTGGCTTGTGAGTTTAGCTATCTTCAATCTGGCTTTCACCAGACACTGTATGCTTTGAGCAGGCATGGAGCAGTCTGCCCTGCGCAGCTCTGCCAGAACATTCAGGCTTGACCTGTATGTAACACGCCTCTTATTCCAGGCATGAGCGGAGACAGCCCGGGGCATGGGCCCTGCCAGACTCAGCAGGCTGGCCACGGGTGCCACCAGAAGGGTGGCAAAAACCAGGAAGCAGAGCACTTGACTGACTAGGGCAAGCGCTGCCCACCAGCAAGATCCCCAAGTTCAAGTCCGAGCTGCTCTGTTTTACTGGACGTTGGAGTAAATCACTTGACCTCCTTCTGTCTGAAGTCAACCCAGCTGGAAAGCATTAGGGAGAAAATAGGACATCCACTGTGAAAACCAAGAGCTGCCTCTGGAATGAACCATATCCCACCCTTCACCCCTAAATGCTAATAGACTGAGAGCCACAACCCTTCCTAGGCTGATGAAGAGTTTGTTCTTACCGAAAAGCACTGTATCCCCAGCAAGAGAGCACGGAATTACACATAATTCCAGGTCTGCGGATGCCCCAATCCCTCACGTCTTCAAGTGTTGTTGCCCAACATGCTGATGAGTTCATGGAAAACAACACTTCTGAAATGCGAACTGAGCCAATAGGAGCAGACACATCCTCCTACACGTGAGCTAGAGCAAGCACAGCAAGGACCCATCCTGAAGAACCACCCAGCCCCTACCTTCTGGCCTGGCTTCTGCTATTCTACTTACTGTGCTAGTATCCAAGACAAACCACTCTGTGGACTCAAACATTCTTTGGGATGCATTTCTCCAGCTGTGAGTTACAAGACTCATCTCTGATTCACAGCTTGTGCTAAATACAGGCTTCCTCTAGCTTCTGTGCACTACCCTGTGCCTGTGCGATCCTGTGAATAATAATAATAATAATAATAACGAGCCTGAAATGTCCACATGAATTAGTCCAGGTTGTGCACAAGGAAAAGTGTTAATAAAAATCGAAAACCTGGCAGGAGGGGGTACTGCATGTCTTGGAGTCTTGTTTCTCATTCTCAGAAGTAGCATCAGCACTGTGACTCTGTGGGAGGGATCTGGGAGTGATTTTGTGGGCTGGTGATGTTTTCAGCATGGTCGATCCTTCTGACCTCACTGTAAGACTGCCACGGGTTGGGACTTTGACATATTGCCTTACTAATTTTTCAAACATGGAAGAGAGTTATGACACTGACCACAACCTTATTGTCACCCTGTTTGATGTTCTTATCAACTTTCTATTTTCTTTTGCTCTTTTCCGCACACTGTCCTACGGGTTCTCCCTCTTTAACTGGAAGTTAATGAAGCTCTAATCTAGTGCACATGTCCAAGGAACATTCATGGACCAGGTGTGTGAGACAGGCACGAAAAAAATCATAGTGTTAGATAATTTGGGAAATACTGCAGTTCACAGTGTGGTGTTCGCAGTATAGTGGTGTATTAAGAGCATACTAAAGCCTGCCAGGTGTGCTGCAGTTCTTTAAAAAATTAGTTTATCTTTGTTGAATCCCAAATTTCTGAAAATTATTTGCCATGAAACGCTTATTTGAATAAGACCCCGTGGAACTAGTAGTGTTCTGGGGATTGCACTCTGGGAAACCTTGCTTTAATGTCAGTCATCGGTTGCTTTCCTTCCGCCGGGGCTCAGTGCGGGCCACGTGTTCTGCTTGAGGAAAATAGATTTGCAGGTGATTAACATTTTGATAAACAGCAGACAGGGACAAATACCATTTTTAGTGAAATAATTAGCAAGGAATCATCTTTCAGTTTTGTTTCTTCTCCCCAATTACATTTCTTGTTTCAGGAAAAAGTAGAAACTCTTTAAAGCAAATGTTTTTATACTTTTTAATATTATTTGCCTACTGAGGTATGCAAATCAATTCACTGCTCCCATGCATATCCGTGTTCCAATGCAACTGAATAAAGGACATGGGTCCCCTTTCTTTCCCAGACCTGTGGCTGGCTGTGCAGTAGGAAGGAAAGCAGTGGCAAAACAGACATCCCAGGGGTTCCAGTTAGGTTGATGAGTGAGGTGACGAATGCTCAGCTCTGCGGGTTGGGCCACCTGTGTTTTTCAGTACACTAGGGGGCGCCGTATCCACAATTTACTCTAGAAATCACCAGGTCTTTCCAAATCTGATTTCTCCTCCCTATGTGCTTATTTTCCTTCATTGCTTTACAACAGTGCAGCCCAGAAGGAACCCATGGTTGATGTATTTAAAACACAAGGTACACAATGTCAGTTGATCACTAAGTTATCTTTCCCAGGTCTTGTGACCTAGTTTTGTTTTGTTGCTATTATCTTTAGATTACTGTTGTATTTTTCAAATCGGTCTTTATCAGATTGTCTTTCCTGAGTGTGTTGCATAATTACAACATGACTGAAATTCTGATTCTGTGATCAAGAGGCGGTCCATGTGA